TTTATGTTGCAAGCAGGTCTTCAACAAAATCATTTCATAGGCTTCTTTGTAATGGATGCCACTGAGTAACTTGGAAGAATGGCAGGTATGTGCCTTTTCTATTTATTAGAGACCATTAGATACAAAGAGAAAGCAAGAGAAAAGAATTGAAAACATACACATGCAGAGCAGCAAGCCCAACAGTTAAAAGAGATCAGGGCACATAAAAGTATTCACAGCAATACAAAAATGACATCACTACAAGCAGAGAAATACCAGAGAATCTTTGTAATATTGTCTAATGGTTTGCTAAATAAAAAGAGCCCCAGATACAGCTTGTGCTTGCTGTTCTCTTCGAATCTTAATAAAGCTGTTGCATACACCACCAAGATCCAGAGGGACAGTGGGTTAATTGTCTCAAATTCCTGTTCATACTTCTGGAAGAGTTTGATTTCTGCAGATACTGTGCAAGTCAATGCTATCAGTACATAACCTCCAACTTCCAAAGGAGCATTAGGGCACTGCTGTTACAAACAGGCTGACAAGAACATCACTGGCCAGCAAAAAGGGCAGGAGAGCAGTGTTCTGCTCTGACTGCATAATTACAACGTTCCTCTTGCTAAGCAAAGGCCCAGCAATCATCCCTCCATTTTAGAGCCTCGTAAGCATTGCACTGAAATACGGGTTCTTTGTAATAATGAGAATTTTTTTGATTACAAACCTCGGAAAGAGATTCTGTTTTGATTGAAAGGGACATTGGAAATCCATCATACTCCTCAGTAGCTCCAAGTTTTCATTAAGTGTTTGCTACTTTATATTTTCTTTCAATTTTACATCCCATGCCCCCTAGCAATAAAGCCTCATATATGAATTAAATAAAATAGCCAGAAATAAGTACAAATGTAGGTATGACTCAGCTTAAGCAATGACACGTGATGTCTCTTTCTTACATTATAAAACATACATAAATATATATATATATACACACTCATAATTCATACTGTGTTTTTTTTTTTAGTAATAACTAAGCCACCTGTCATTTTCAACTAATTTCTCACCATTGCCAGGCCTGTTTTCATAAACAAAAGAAAACATAAACTTAGATGGTAGTAAATAATTTTGAGCCCACTGAATGTACACACCTTAGTATGATCTTGATTCTTCCCAGTCTGACAACAATATGATGTATATGACTTTAAACTGGTTCACCAACAGTGGGAATTGGTAGAACTCAGCAAAATTACAAAGTCAAAACATTCACACAGTTAAGTAAGAAAGGGTTTTGAACTATCACTCTTCAAAAACCTTTCAGTAATTAGATATGGTATATAAAAATTTCCAGTGCACTGACAGAAATACCCCAAAAAAAGTAAAGACCAGTAAGGATCAGATCACATCAGCCATAGTATGGACAGGCTAGTGGATTCCTCCCTTTCCCTATCAGTGTGCCAGTTTCCATTAGGAAGACTTGTACTGTTAGGCAATGGTTTAGCAATGGTATACATAAGTCAGGATAAGGATATTGAGCTCATTTTCAGTTGCAGTAAGTCAAATTTATTCAGAACTCAGGTGTCTGGAACTGGAAAATCCAGCATTTTGATCCTTCTCCTAGAGCTATAAAGCTAAATCAGAAAATATTTTACGGTTTTCTAAATGGAAAGAAACATAAGGGAAGTAATTAGCAAAGAAGATTTAAAGAGGCTAGAAAAAGAATTCAAGGTAGGACATCATATTTCAGAGAGAGGCACCTTAAAGCAATAAAGTATTCTTACAATGAACTGCACATAATTATTATAAGACAGAAAAGAAAAAATAGTCCACTAGCCGTATTCTAGTAAGGGACCTTAAAAAAGAGAAGACATTCAGTGTGATAATTCCCACGTGGTTATATCCAATTTCTTTACCAGATAAAAATGAAGTACCATCAAAAATTGAAGTCTTTAGGATTGCTTTAGTTAGAAGTATCAAACATCCAGGGAACCTTAAGACTGGTCTTTCCTGTCCATTTGTCTACACAGTTTTAAGATGCTATCACTGATATACACATCAAATGAACTGAAAGACTTGGCTACCTTAACAAGATTTATATTGACACACTACAAGCACAAGCTGATTACTATTCATTCCTTTTTCACTGCCTCTGCTAAAAAGTAATTTTCTTACAACATTTTATTTGTACTCACATAGCACTTCAAAAAGCAATGTTAATGGAATGTTAGGAAAATGTTTAGGGAACAGAGTTACTTGTGTTCTCCCTTCCTTAAATAAGAGTTTGTATTCTATATTTCTCTAGTTTACACATTCCTATTGAGTTCTGCAGTTCAAAATTATACCACCAGCACATAGTCAGTTTCTATTTAAGAACTCAAGAAGGTTAAAATGAGCATTCCAATATGATCCTAATTTAATATTCTGAAATATCTGTGGTTTATGCCCCTATATGGTCTGAGCAATTAAAAAAATACCCAATCTCATCACTAGTCTAAGTTCTTTTGCTCTGGGTTTTTCTTACAAGCATAATCTCTATATTTCAGAGGCTGAGCTCACACAGAAGAGCCTGGAGAGGTAAGCAGGCTGTGACATGAGTCACCACGGAGGCTCTGAATAAGCCAGGCTAGCGCAAGCGTGTTACCATCTCCTCAGCAGCCACCAGTGGCAGTACCAAAAAACCATGTGCCACTGAGGAGAGGGGCAAGAGAAAGGAGTATGTGCCAAACTCCATCTCACACAGAGAAACTTGGCACAACTGACCTCTAAATGACATTTTGATGTACCTCCCACCAGTCAGAAAGTTCAAACTATGCATAGCTGGTTTTGGAGTGCTTTACCACAATACCAGGGTGTACTTTTAAGTACCTAACATTAACTTTCTATTATAAACATCAATGTGTATAAATTGATACAGATATTCTCTCCTAATACTCTCAGCTATTTACCCTTTGCTTTTATAGGCTTCTCAATGGTAATCAGGGTTGGCATGTAAGCACTTATATGCCAAAGCTGTCTTTTAAATGTCACTCTATTTCTTGCTTAGTTTAACAATTGCACAGTTCTGCTCTTAAAACACCATCAGCAGTACTCAACACCAAACCATGATAAAAGTTGGACATCACTTGTAATTGCCCAAAATTGATACCAGGCTATGAAACAGTGATGACAATTTCACAGCACAATTATTACCTTTGAATTTCACTTCAAATAACTACCTTAAAATTATGAGAAACAATCATCAGAAATACAAATGCTTACTGGCACTTCAACACATATTCATTTTTATTTAAGCATATGTAGCAATATACAAAGCTGCCTAGCTTACAGACTGTCATATATTTTATTTGTAGTCTCTTCCATTCAATACATTATCCATGTAATTCCCTTTTTTTCCCTGTACATTGAAGGAAAGAAACATGACTCCAAGAAACAGTAGTTCTTTAAGATGTGCTGTCCATATGTTACATGACACTCCATGCTTTCCTCTCCTATATATCCAAGTGAGCAGACCTCTAGCCCAATATACCTGTTACGGCTGCAGAGTTGTATTTCAATGCAAACTACATAAAAACCCCAAAAGTGTCAGGACAAACCATTTCACAAGAGTTATGACAATATAATACCATGGTCTTAGAGGCCCTTCCAGTACCATGAAAATGCTGCTAGATAGTTATTACTAAATTTCCCTAGATTTGGTCTTTTCTGGGATATAAATGCACACAATGTTTTCAAAATCCAGGGTACAGGAGCCAGGTTCTGCTGTTTGTGGGGGAAGTTGACCACAGGAGTAGGCATGGTCAGGCCATGTGTTCCAAAAAGTGTGGTGGCAACAGTTGAATATGTTGGTTAATGCAAATAAACACAAGACAGGCCTAAGAACTTGGCTAAAAAGAAATCTGGAGTAAGGCACTGTTGGGATGGCAGGGGATGTAGAACACAAGGGATGAGAAAGGTATAAAGGAGTGAAAAAGCAGCCCTCTGGGCTGGAAAGCACTGGGTAGAGCTCTGGGCTGAAGACCAAATGATTAGAGAATGGGAGCAACATAAACTGATTTACCAGAGTTCATCTCCCTGAGCATAGCTGACCTTGTCTGGGGGTTGGGGCTTTGCCTCCTTCCTATTGCCTTTGGCCATGGGAAGCAGTGACTCTTGGCTGTGGACTTTATGAGGGCAGCACGTTTCAAAGAAGCCTGATCACTTCCTCTTCTCCACATACAGTCTGCTCCTGCTAACTTATTAATACATGTTAAGATGATGGTGAATCACCCTTTCAGTACCTAAAAGAGGAGGACAATAACAGAGCTAGAGAGGAACTTTTTACAAGGGTCTGTCATGACAGGACATGGGGAAATGGCTTTAAACTGGAACAGGTTTAGATTCAGAATCTAAATCAGGTTTAGATTTAGATGGCAGGTTTAGATTAAGTATTAGGAAGAAATTCTTTCCTGTGGGGATGGTGAGACACTGGAACAGGTTGCTCAGAGAAGCAATCCATCTCTGCAAGTGCTCAAGACTAGGGTGGATAGGATTTTGAGCCACCTGGTCTAGTGAGTAGTGTCCATACCCATGGCAGGCAGTGAGAACTTGATGATCTTGAAGGCTCCTTTCAACCCAAATCATTCTGTGATTTCAAGATAATACTGACAAAAATTCAGGCACTGCTCACCAAGCCACCAATGCTCCAGCCATTAAGTAGTATTTTGTGAAGACATAAAAGTAGGCATCAAATAGTTCCTTCATATCTTTTTGCAAGGTGTACCTTGAGGACACCACTACAGCCTGATCTGTACACAAATGCCCACCCCTTCAGACTCAAAAGCTGTCTTGAAAATCCACTCAGGTTATCAAACAGGACCACCCAAACTAGAGCTGAACACATTAACTTCTGAGTGGTTCATACACAAAGCAGTTGTGAGTTTTCCTCTAGGCTACCTAGTGCTGCTGTGCGATTATGGAAAGAGACTTCCAAAAAGGAGCAGAGCATAAGGAGCACATGCTTCCATAAAGGAGCAGAGAAATAAAGGTGCAGGGAGGAGCCAGGAGCCGCTACCTCTCACAGGAGCAAGTTACTGCGGATTAGCTGAACGCGGTAATTTGCTCCTGTGCGAGGCAGCAGCTCCTGCGCTTGCTCTGGTGGGTGCAAGACTAGTGACACATTGTGCAGGGACACAGACAGCCCTGCAGCTCTAGCCAAGAGCACAGGGGTCAGATAGGCTTGGAAAGCAGAGAGTATGGAGTGAAAAACACAGTGTGTGCAGTAGGAGGGCTGAAAAGGGGTAACAGGCACTGGAAAGGTAGAATGCATTTAAGGAAAATGATGACCAATGAACAAGCTTATGGCTTGGGGTGTCTGGTTTCTCAGGAAGAAAGCTGCCCTGCAACAGGCAGTGGTGGGCACAGAGCTGCCCACAGCAATGCTTCAGTTACTCACTAGCCCTAGGAAACAGAACATTCAACTTCTTCCTTACATTTCCACAAAAGCGCTCACAAAATCCCAAAACTGATGACAAATTATCAAATAATGTCTTGCAGTATTTTATTAGGCAACCCTAAAATTTAACTTGACAAACATTATGCTTGAAGAGTAGTTCATTGCTCCACATAAGTCAAGTAGTTTGATACTTTATTTCTGGTTTATTCTTGATGGTTGCCTGTTCCACCAGCCACTGGAGCACCTGACTCTAGATGCGTTTCATTCTAGATAAGCTTGTTTGCTTTTAGGAGCTTGGGTAAGTGCTATAGCCTGCCGCCAAAGCTTTGTTGGATGTAATAAAACTTCACTGTTGTATTTTATAATCACAAAGGTATTTGAGGGCATGCAGAATTGCAGAAATTTTCAAAACTCATCTTGATACTGTGCATGTCTGTCTTTGCTTGTAATGACAACATGGATGGAATTGACTGGTTTCTGCCAAGGATAAGAGGCAGCTTCTGCTGTGGTCTGTTCTTTTACCTGAAAGAACTCTCTCCAGATCAGACAGGTTTTTTTCTGGTTTATATGAACAGTGGATTGATACCTGAAACATCTTTGGTGTCTGCCTGGAGGGATCTCGCTCTATCAGAAATTATTAAATAGGAATTTGACTGATGAGATGATGAAATAAAGGGATTAAAATGCACAGATTACTTCCACTTTACAGTCAGAAGCAGCAAAAAGCAGCTACACTGCCACTGGGAACTGATGTAACAACTTCATCCTTCGTATGCTGTGGGCAGATTTGCACTCTTCACAGAGATTGCTAGTGAAAAGATTTCAGTCCTTAGAAGATTTGTGCCAAGACTGGAATAGCTGTGAAGCAAAATGGAAAGAAAAAAAATCCTGACACCCAGCTGGGTTATTGACCCTTCTGAACATCTGCATCTTTATTGCTAAGACCACCTCAGTGTACACATCCATGGTTATGGCCAAAAATGCAACACACCCTGTTTTGAATATAAACTGGGGAGACAGAGTAAAATTTTAAGAAAATCTCTGTCACTACACTCACAGTCTAAACTCCTATATTTAAAATAGCTATAAAATGGGGATTAATATTAGTTATGAATGTTTTATGTTTAATTTAAAAAATTATCTTTTGTGTGATAAGCATACTGAAATACTTTACTGATATGCTCTGCATGTGCTTTTAACTGTCTATGAAAATCACTCTGGATGCATTTGCACATTTTGGGCAGACATGACTGTTAGAAGTAATGAAAACAGATGAACAACAGCCCTGACAACAGAAGTAATAACTTTGTAAGTTAAGTAGATGTATTTTCAAACACTGCTTGAATGTTCTTCATGGGTAGCTTGGAGGATGAAGGTACCTTTCATACATAACATTGTAAATTTTGTATTGTATTGTACAAAGACATCATTCTACTATGTCATTAATGCACATGATGACCTGAGCACAAATACAGCACTATGACACAGCAGAAAGGACACCATAATCATGTGATGAAGCTGATGTCTTTTACAAATATGATATATATTCTGCCTTTATCCTGTGTTCACTTAAACTGGGAGGGGAAACTGCACTGTGCTGCAATATCATAACCAAAGAAAGAGAAGCAGCTTCCCAAATGGTTTCTTGAAGAATCACTTGAATTCTACTACAGTGACATTCCAATTATATTTTGCTTCTTGCTTATGATAAACATTTCCTATTGGTTTAAAACTCTAATATGTATTTTCTAGGAATATATAAAAAAGAAGAAAATCAGAAAAGAATAAACACAGAATTATGAAAAATGATGTTAGGCCTGCAAACAACATGCATTTCATCTTTTTCTAGAAGTATAGAGTCAAGAACTTGACAGTTCCCCAGAAGCTGTCCACGCAGTAAAAGGACAATGGCAGCACACAGGCTCCACAGGCAAGACAGAAGATCTGTCTCTTGCTTTCCATAGTGCATGTACCAACCACCTGTTTGGGCTAGAAAAATATTCTAACAGGAATTGTTAGTCATCAGTCAAGCAAGAAAACATTTTTTGTGGACAAATATAAGCTATTCTAGTATAATCATCATTGTAAAGAGTAGGCAAATAGACTGTATATCTGATATAGGACATTCTTCCTCAAATAAGACCACAAACTCAATAAAGTTATGAGGGAACTGAAAGAGATATTATGCACTGCCACTTAAAAAGTAAAAATGCAAAAATCACTGGATGAGAACATGAAGGAGGGAAAAGGCTAGGAAGGAATACATTAAAGTGCAAAAAAAGAGACCACAAAGAGTTTTATAATGCTAAATTAATCTCTACAAGAAACAACCCTGCAGAAATGTAAGTAAACCTCCTTCATTCTGAATTTGCAGAATAGTCCACAAGTTAACAGTGACTGCAATTAACATAAAAGTGTATTCTAAACAATATTCCCAGGGAAAAACGCAGTGGGTAGCACAAACTACAGACTTGAATGTAACACCCTCAGCCCTCCCACAACACTACTACAATAGCATGTGCCATTTGTCATATTAATAAGCATGGTGCTTTCAAGCACATGCAACTCAGGCAACAATATCAATGTTATGTGCTAATTGCCCTCCCAGCTCTTATGTGTGGTACTTGAAAGGCTTCACTGCACTACCTCACTCCCCACAGTAAATCACTACCTGTCACTGACCATTGATAATGGGAATCTTGGCAGTAACTGATCCCTGAAAGACATACTTCCACTGAACAATGTCACCACAGTTATATATGAAATGAAATAAAAATTACATTTAGAGGACTTGAAACTGCAAACTGAAGTGACCTCGTATCTGAGGTAATAGTGATTCTAGACAATCAAAAAGAATAAACTGATAAATATGAAGGTTTACTTTCAATTAGTAGGGTTTAATTTGCATCTGTTTTTGAAAACGTGTTTGGCTGTGACAGGATTTCTTTTTTTGGGGGGTGTGAGAGTGTTTGTACACAAATACTTTCCTACAGGCGGGGAGATTGTTTTCAAGGCATATTCTCACACTTGATAAATACAACAACAATATCAGATGTTTCCAAACAGCACTTTTTTTTGTTTGCTGTATTAATGTCTAGTGCTGATAATATTTTAATGTTTGTCAAAAGCATGTTTGGCTTTGTTTTACAGGTAAATAACATTAAAAAGCATTTTAACTACATTTACATATAACCTATCCATAAAAAATAGAAAGGAAAACTAAGTAGAAACAAAAAATACCTATTAAATAATCATGCCCATTCCTCCACCAATGGAATATTACTCCCTGTAGTATAATGAGCAATTTGGCCAGGCTGGCCATAAATTATCTGGAAAATGAGGCTGCTTGCCTTTTCCTTTGGGAGGTTATTACGTAGTTCAAGAGATTTCACTATTAGAATCTATTTCTGATCATAAACATCAATTTTTCTTTCTGAATATCATCCCTTTCATCTCAGTGAAATATAGGACAGGAGTTAGGAACTATTCCCAATTTGCTGAAAGAGCTGCCTGACACTAGCTGTGATGCAATTCTGCCCAGATTTATCCATGTATCACAAAGCAAGAGCACTCACACAGCTCTGCAGTGGCCTTACTGGAACACCATAAATCCACATTCTTGTCTATGACCCCAGAGGGTCCTTGGCCATCTTTTGAAATATAACAGACACCACAATACAGCAGATTCAACTACCAGAATTAAGTGAAGAATTGATACCAGAATGTGAAGCTTTGTATCATGAGACTTCAATAAAATACAAAGTCTCATTACAATTTTGAAGTCCAAACAAAGTAATTTTCAGTGTTTCAAGAGCTATTTAAGAAAAACAGATTTCTAACAACAAGTAAGATATTGAAGAAATAAATGAGATAATGAAAAAAATCTCAAGCATAGCCAAAGTAGGAAACTGGTAAAAAGAAAAATCATGTGGAAATACAGGATCATGTGAAAATACAGGAAACAACCAAGAAAGACAGGGAGACTGAAGAGGTTGAAAAGGTAGTGGATTTATTTGTACCCACCAAAAAAATAAAGGCATTTAGTCAGGAACATGGGGTTTTTCAATCACCAAAATAAAATCCCTACAGAAAAGGGAGGTACTAAAAGGAAAGCTCTGGAGTTATATTGATAATTAAGGTGAACTAAATCACCACATTCTGACATTTTTAAATATAGAGGGTCTGAATTGCTATTTTTAAAGAATCCAAGTCAATCCAACACATAGAAATAGGGTATTATCTGCAAACTTCCCAGAGCCCTACCCTTTAGCACAGCATTGTTCAGCACGCTTACCGTGGCCACACATGGCAGTGCTACTTAGGAGGTTGCACATCCCCTGCACTCACACTGTGGCTGCATCTGCCTCTCTTTTGATCATTTTAATGAAAGAGTGCTTGAAAAGTAGTGGGGGACGGGAGAGGCAGCACACTGACATAATCGATTCAGACTGCCAAAAGGCATCTGTTACACTCTTATTCCATACTAATTTATATTTAAAAACCCATAAAAATAGGCAGTAAGTACTTTCATACGGAAGACACTTCTTACTGTTAAGGACCAAATCCTACTTGAGACTGGAAAGGCAGATTAAATGGTCAGTTTCCATTTCGGCAAAGGCCAAGCAACTACTCCATTTATGTAACAGATCGTTTAATATATTTATTAGTAATCAGAAAGTCATGAACAGAGAAAGTCTGCT